AAGGTTCGAACTTCCGAGGAATTACTGCCATTACGAGAAAAAATCTGAAATGCTACAATCGAAATCGGCAACGATACACGGGTGCATCGGAAATTCTTAATAGCAAGGAGGAAATGTAACAAATCTCTTCTGCTTTTCCAACACGTTCTATTGGATCATCTAGACATTCGTGCATAGTAACTGTCCTTCAGCTTTCCCTAGCAGCCTTCCAAACGTCATAAAAGGGAAGAAAGATTGGTCGATGGTTGGATTCCCTTGTGACGACAAAGTTTTAGATTTTCGCTTGACGCTTTCATGACGTCGCAAAATTGCCTAAGCTAGTAATGGATGTCATATCACCAACGGGACTACCACTGACCCAGAGTGGGCATTCGCTGAAAATTGGTATCAGACGGTGTAGCGCTTGTACTTCTTCCACCCTTTACGGACAGTGAACGGACCGACCGAAAAAAAGAACCATGGTTCTGCGCTCCATAAATGTGTCCTAATTTTATGCAAAGACCGTTTTTCAAAAGTGGGGCGCAACCTGAGGGACCTTCCTGGTAAGGCGCAGCTATAAAAAAAAGGGAAAATGTCATAATCCAAAGGTTCAGTTAGCTGAAACATGTGCTAGTCAAGGTGGTCAAGACAAGAGAGGAAAAGCAGTAAGCACATAAAAAATTGGACTGTTTGAGCTTCGTTAACATACATCGTCGTATCTAAAGAGCGAATGGACCACTGAATTGCTAGGAAAGCCTAGAGGCACTCATCAGGACCAAGTTGGTGCGTTATTTCGCTCGAAAGGGAAACTAAAGATACGATACGTATCAGCAGTGATGAATAAAGGAAAAGAAACCACTAAACCACAAAAATAGAGGCCTATTTTCTCCAAGCTGTGAAAGGTTGTAAGAGACAGACCACAGGATAAGAGACACCAAGTAAAGCGGAGAGGGAAAAGAATCGATGACAAGGGGGCATGGATAATAGAGAGAGAGGAACTGGCCTACGACGTCTATGTGAACCCTGAAGCCTTAGCGACTCCGGGAGCAAATTCGTACGAACATCATGCTTGTTGATCTCTCTACCTTTGCATACTAGCGCTTCACCTCATTGACTAATTGTGCCTTTGAGTCGCGCTTCCGAAAATAGCTGACAATAAAATATACCTGCAAGAAGGTATTCTTTGCCAGTGTCGATGAGGAGACCGCAAGCTGGTGGCTCGGACGGTGTATAGATTTCAGCTGGCAACTTTTCAAGGTCAGACGGTTTCTGTAATCGAATTGGAGTTGATTATTTGCTACAATCAAGCAATGGTTGGAGGAAAAGGGCTATTCTTTCCTTTGAAGAACAAAAATTGCATCGCTTAAAATAAATGTATTGTAAAATATGGATCCTGCCGTTGCTCAGAACCGGTTTATTGGTAATGAACATGTTGACTGGGATACAGAACAAGATATTAGCTAGACGCTTTACACATGGTACTGCCTAACAAACATACTTAGGTGGCTCCACAATGAGCCAACTGCACAAAAAGTGTTTATCTGCAGCAGTAATGATCGAGAGAAGAAAACGACTTTAAAGACCATGAAAAAGCACTTCAATCTTAGGGATCAAACACGTTGACATCCGTTATATATCGATAACCAAGCTTTAGGTTTCAACTTAATCTTTCCCGCTCCTGCCTGTGCTACTCGTCTTTCCCATGTTCACCTCCAGGTGCCACTTTGCCACCTTGTGAAGTGACTATTTGAAGTGACTAGTTCGATAATTATCATAGATTTTCTTATTTGTTTATTATAAAGTGGATTGTAACCATAAACACAACATCGCTAGACTGATTAGCAGAACAAATTTGTTTACGTATTAGGATGCTTTCTGCTACTGTTTTCCTCGTCACAACTACGGGCATTTCGTAGACTGGCAGAAAGACGGAAGGACATACCAACACACCAATACACCATGTAAATGGTTGATATATTAGAGTGTTTAGTTTTCTAATGGGTTACAAGCCGTGCAGTTGGTCGTTCAACGACTCTTGCATCATGACAACACGAAAAAACATCTCGCCCGTGACGTGATGCATTACACTGAACCGGTGCGGTCGTAGTAAAATCACTTGCACAGAGTAATCGCCCTTAGTTGCCTCGCGGATCACTCTCAGCGGTGAATATCCTGCGAGGTACCTCCACTTTTCTATAGTTCTTGAACGAGTTCAGTCCATTTTTCTCGGTCTGTTTAAGGACAATCTCAGAGCCAATGATGCCTCATCTGATTTGTTCTCAATCCAATAAGCTATTTCTTGCAGAGCCAGGGCTTGCAATTTTTCGAACTTCTTTTTGAAATCTGATCCCCACACGTGGCACGTGATTGATGTTCATTTTTTATTCATGGGAGTTTCAGAAGTTCCAGAAAAAAAAATGAAGGTTAGAGTTCAGAAAAATGAATGTGGCTATTGTGCCCCTGCATATTTTCAGAACAATCGCTCTGAAGTTCCCTCACGACAATTCAAAATTACATAGCAATACATGTTAGGAATTTGTCTTCTTTTTTGTGGTGATACCACTTCATTTTCTTTATGTGCTTCAGAGGTTTTATAAATTTTAACATAAGCCTTTTGTATTTATATTTTTATTTGCATTATTTCCATATTTTGTTATTCATAAGAATCAATACTGAGCCGTTTCCATTAACGCTAGCGCGGTTGGAGTTGGTGCGTGTGGATAGGAGGGTACATTCAGGGCTTCATTAGTCATTTGCAGTGACCAAGTTTCGTTAAGATACCCTCACTCAACTGCCTGATTTATCCCCTTTTCTTTGTTTGATTTCACCAATGGCCTTTTGCTTATTCCTTACTTGTGTGAAGGGTCGTCGAATAGGTATGGTGCGTAAATTGAGCGCCTGGCATGTGTTAGTTGCTCTACTTTTGGCATCAACGGCTAGGCAGATGACGAAGCTTGACGCCGATGTGGTAGGGCATCCGTGACTAGGTCCGGCTTTCCAATTCTTGGTTTATGCCATCTCGAATAGGAATGGTATGAGGACCGGCATTGAAGGAAGCAGCATAAGACAGATCAAAAACTTAAGATTTCAAGGGCCAGTCGTTCCCTGAACTTTGCCGTGGGTTCTTGAAAAAAGCGATTACGATAGGAATTTTGGGCATGGGGGAGACCCTGGCACCGAAGCCAATTACTTGGCTGCCAGAAGCAGATGTGTTGGCGCGCTTCACGGCGAAGGTGCATATTAGTGTATGCTGGCAGGATATGCAGCACTCGGTGGCAGCGGCGTTTACGACACTTGCTTCAGGTTGAGGACTTGGGCGAGCTGTGTGCTGTTGGCCTTCCATTTTCGGAGTCGTTCCCTCTTACCGGCCATATATTCCAATGCGCTAATATGATCCCCCAGGTACCCTACTGAACGCTTGAGATCTATCGTAATCGCTGCTTGTATGAATATTTTGAAGAATCCGGAGCCAGCGAACGCTGTACGAGTGGCGGAGCCATCGTTGATATTGTGGGGGTAGAAGTGCCACTTAAGCCATTCAGGAAGAGTTTTGCGATGCTAATTGAGGCGTCTGAGGCTCTGGGTCGAGCATGTTAATGGCATTATGGATACATTCGCACAACTCTATCATTCCAATGAGATTTATTGGAGTTAGCTATGGGGTGGTGTTTGATGCGTTCTCGCACATAAATAACCTTACGGCTTGTTAAAGCGATCTGCTTTACGTGCAATTCAAGTGTTTCTGCGAACGAGGCAGTGCATAGCTATTGCGCGGGGTAACAGGATCTGCAGGATGGTAAGCAGTTTCAGGACGCGTTGCAGGCAATTTTCTCTCCAATAAATTCGGGCCTGTGTCGCGGTCAGGTCTCTTCGAAAAACGTTCTTGGTTTCCGAATTGCGCTGGCGAACGTCGCCCCTCCTATATTCAGCTTTTTCACGTTGCCGGTCTTATTTTTGTGGTATAGTCAACCGAAACTACCCTAACTGCGGAACCAAGCCTAGACATGAATATTTATATATCGAAAATTCTTGCGTAGGGGTGGTAGTTCGGATTGGTTTTAAATATAGGTGCCTTTAAGATCGTTAAAGGCAGTCGAAATGCTTCGCAGAGCGTCCGTGGTAGAAATACGTGGCTGAGCGGAATGGTACAGGTGCAGTGGGTCCCGTGAATTCGTTCGTTGTTGGAGCGTACGATTTCTTCAACAGCGCTCGCCGGTAGTAACAGTGTTATATCTGTATTACCGAAGGGGACAGTCTTCGCTGGAATCCGTACTCACATTACCGATAAAAGTTGCTATCCATGCAATTTTCCGTTTTTTTATTTTTACTTTTTTGGCTTCAGGGGGCCACCATCGAAATGAACCTCTGATTTGCTGTCACTCTGATGGGGTGTAGTCCATTTGCCTCTGTCAGCAAAAACAATTGGACTGTTCGCAAAAGCGTCACACTGTTGATTGACTCCTGTTGAAGTCTAATCCGTATACTGGAAGCAAAGCGTATGGAAGGATGCGAAGATTGACTTATTTTCTGTCTTCTCCGGGCATTGCGAAATGGCCGTGGGTGGAGACCTAGGAGTTCGGAAAACGCCAGGTGCCGTAAGGTATGATCGCCGAGAGTTAGGGGCGAAAGCTCCTTAAATTTTCTCTGTGGTCCATGGTATTGTTGAGTAGTAGGGGCGTACATCGAATATTGGCGTGTAGCTAAAGCTAGAGCACTGATTAATGAAACGAATTGTTATACAACAAAATTTAAGGGCAGTTTCGTCCTGCATCCATTCGTGGGGAAGGATTTTCTTACGGTCCAGAGGAGAAATGGGACGGATTGGTTGAATAGGAGGCCAGTATGGAGCGCCGCATTTCTAATACAATACACGGGTGGACGGTCATTGATACGGATTCTTGCATTTTAAGCACGTGAGTTATTTTCCGTGGAGAGTCCAGTGAAAGCATCGATTAAAGAAGATCCTAGGGAAAGCTCGATGTCACCTACCTACACAACAGGCACGATGCGTTCCCGAGATGACTTCACTCAGGTATAAACGCAGAACAGCGGCCAGTCCAAGAAGTGATGTTGTATTCTGTCTGGTGACTTCCTATGAATACATTGTTGGTGTCCACGTGTGTCTTCCTGGCCGCATTGCTTTTCCATGAACACTATCTTGTTACCGTAATTTTTGCCCACCCTGTATATGACACCTTCGGACTGCAAAGTGGGCACAACCTTTACGTTCATGCGAAAGTCAGCCTCACTGCTGAAGATATCCTTCCAGTAGCTGATCGTGGAATGTGCCTCTATTCTTTACTGGATGTTTGTCACGTTGACGACAGGCGCGTTTCGGCTTTTTTGGCCACGTGGGACAGGGCGATTTTGCGAGCGCGGCCGCCTCACCTCAAATCCGTAAATTTTGAATGATAATTAGCAAAGCATGATGGTACAAAACCATTTCAGCAATATTCAATGCGTAGAAGTCATTCGGGGGTATAGTGGTAGCATTCCATTCTAACCGCAGGGAACTTGTAATGGTTATAGAAAAAGAAATTTGACTCTTTTTCTTGTAATTGACGCCAGTGTTTCCGGCGCGATTGTTCCAAAAAACGAGATATTTTGCTGCCCGTGTGAGTTTGTATTTTCTTCTACCACTCTTTTTATTTATTTTCATACTCAAAAGTGAAAAAGAAAGTAAAAAAGTAAAAAGTAAAAAAGTCAAAAGTAAGAAGAAAACAAGGAGAATCGAGTTCTTAAATTCGTAACGCATAGAATACCTGTGCTGAACGGAAGCATGCCTGACCATATGGTTCATAACGTCGTTTAGAATTATGTTATGATGTGTTCCGTAAGATGAACACCAGCAAGCGCGAGAAAAAGGGACGACTTGGGTGGGACGCGCAACCGCGTCACTATGTCCGGCGTGGTGCGCAAAGTGGGCGCACACCCGCGTCACGTGTCGTCAATGTATTAATGATTCTAATTTCAAAAGTTATTCGCCCTTTGTGTGATTTTCTAGGTGAAAAGCTTTATAACTATTATAAATGCTGGTTTGCGAGCAAAACATGGCACCGTGCAGGAGATTCGAACCAGCCATTTCTCGAATACCCGGAATAAGCATTGCCACTCACACTACTATGGCAATATATAATCGAAACTGAGCCACGGTAAAGTGCGCCGCTCCAGCGTAATTGGTATTACAATTGCAAAGGCAAGAGGTGCGAGGGACAAGAGGTGCGTGTTGTACTCGACTCGCGCCCTGGCGGAAACAAGGAAGTACCCGACAGAGACCCGACGCGCGGCAAGTAGGCAGACAGTCAGGCGGGACGAGTCGCCAGCGTATAGTTACGCTGATTTTGGGCGGTCAAGCTGGAGAAGAATGCTGTCACTTGTCGCCACTTCTGCATTCTTAGCGCACGACAGGCGCCCGCCTGGTCAGGGTAAAGGATAAAGGATAAAGCATTTGCCGTTGATCAATCCCTTTTTGGGATGCGGCACGCATTCTACTTCCATTTGTACATTCGCAGTGGCGTTTGAATGCGATGTGGCCTATACAATGACTTGCGGGGGCCAGCCGATGTTCAAGTCAGTGTTTTATCCTCCCAGACAAGTCTGGTACCAATTAACCGACCCCGGAGGGA